GTAATTGCCCAGCGTATGGGAATTTCGTTGGCATTTATTGAATATCACATGATTTTTAGTGCGCCGATGTTATGATGAGAAAAGTGTGGGGCAGTAGTAATGGTGCACTGAGGACGTTATGCATTCTGCTGCTGCTTGCTGCTTGCGTGGTGCGCGACGCTGGTGGCACTCCGGCCGATCTGGACAACGAATTTGCCGAGTTTGAGGATATGGAAGAAATCAACGAGGAGGACGACCTCCTCACAAAACCGCTCACCGAGCAGCAGCTGCCCGTCAAAACAGCCCCTCCCCGCAACAAGGTTTTGATTTTCCTTTTTTTTGGAAATATTGAAAGAACCACTTTTTCAACAGGTAGTACCTGTGAAAGTCAAAAATTGCTTCTCTGTATTTCGCTTTCAATGAGAGGCGGAGGCATTCGAAAAGTAGTCCATGTGGTAGCAAGTGCCAACAGCAACCATTCACTGTCGATGGCTTCCTCTTTCGAGAGTTGCTTACAAGTTAGTTGATAGAGGGCATGGCTCCGTGGCGTATGCCAACACCAGTTTATCACTGAAACGAGTAAGCAATTCTGAATGAATCAAACCTGATTGAAATCCGAGATTTCTTTTAGAATGAAGAAGAAGATGATGATGACGAGTTCGGCGACGAGGAGGAAGTGGAATTCTCAAAAATCACCAAAAAAGATGAGCCGGAACGCAGCGAACGAAAAGCACCGCAACAGCTTCGATTTGCCGATGTGAGTGTATTTCCAAATTCACGAAAATTTCTTTTATGAATGTATCTCTGCTATTGTTTAAGTCATATATCTTCTACTTTTTGCCAGTACATTAAGGTCATTGTGTAACGTTCGGGCGGAGGAGGAGCTGGGGCTGGGGAGAGCCTGTCTGGCGGAGAAGTGCAACACCAAGTAACACTTCTTTATTAAAGCAATATTAAAGAAACCAAAAAATAAACATACCCCCAGAAATCGCCCGGCAGCAGCTCCATGCTGCGGCCGCACACATCCGCATTATGCGAATCCAAACAATTACACTATTTCATTTTCAATCGTCACATTAAATATCACGGAGGGGGGGAAGGAGGGCTCGAGCCAAGAGACACGGCATTTATATTGGAAACCGAAGGGCAATTGGACAAGGCGAAGGGGGTTGAGCCTCCAACTTCGCTTCCTTGTTACTCGCTCCTTCTTCCTTTTG